ACTAAATCACTACAGTAGTTACAATTAATATTTGCAGAGTCATTTTGTTCGAGGAAGGCGTTTTACATTGTCTAAACCAGCAAGTTGTCTGATATTTTACTAATTTAGGGCAGCTTTAAGGCGTAAACGCAAGATAAGTTTCCACACAACAGCATGTCCTGAAAGACCATGATAAAAAGCATTTCTAACCCCTATTTGTATTGATCTAGCAGAATATTTTCACTGGATGCTTCCTTAAAGATTGTTCCATTTGAACATTGTTAGCTATAGCGGAAAAAATATGCGATGCGCAGTTGCTTTATATGTTTTTTAGTTGCCGCAGTGAGTGAAATTGGCTTTGGTTATTTAAGTTCTTCAGAAAACTTCTCAGAATGATTTCAGAAGAGGATTTGACAGACGCGATATTTTCTGCAGATTATTCCCTCGGCCGTAAACACATACATATATAGTCAGTTCTGTTTCCAGTTGGGTAGATCCATTTTCAAAAAACCTGATGCGTGTTGGAGCCAATAAAAATTGCATCCTTGAATTCATAATCTTTCAAAAAGAAAGCTCGAGAAAGTCCTGCTGTCCCACAATTTAAATTAAATGATAATGCAACCTTTTCGCTTTCTCTGCATGAAATAGCCTAATGCAGGATGAATGAATGAATGACGATTTTTATAAGTAACTTACCTAAATGATCACAAGGAATCGTGGCTGAAAGCTGGCATTATACATAGCAGGAATATTCTAAAGATTATTATCGACGCTGGTCAGTATAGCCAGATTACATGCTTCGAATTTCTCAGTTGTTGTTCTGGTTAGCATTTCAGTAAAAATATCAAAAAGCTACATATACCATCCCCTAAACGCCCAGGATTTTTTTGGCAAATATAAATAGAGGCTTTCACATGGTTTACTCTGCAACCCACCTACAAATACAGACCAGACCAAGCACTCTATGTACAAACTTGAAAAACGCTGGATTTATGGGGTATGGCTGTCAGCATAGTGCAAATAGGCCAGGAATCATCCTGCCATTTATTATTGCCCTATTAAGTACAGCTCCTGTTCTATTGACTTGTTTTACCCTCTAACGCTCTGCGAAGCTTCTGAAGTGGAACTCACGACAAAACACTATATGCATTTACTGTTTCAAAACGCAATTACTTAAACGTCATTCTCCCGCGAATCGCCTTATATAAACTATGTTTTGAACCTTTCGGTCTCATCTATTTTCAGGAAGCATGGGTGGGAAGAATATTTTACAGGCGAAAGAGTCCCTTCTTCTGTTCCTCAAGTCGTTGCCCACGAATTGTCGTTTTCAGATAGTCGGCTTCGGAAGCACCTTCTCCGCACTGTTTGATGAGTGAGTCTCCAAAGTCCTTTCAGTCCCCTAAGCGTTCATTTTGTTCGTTCCCACACAGGCTTCCCTACAGAATCCGAATTATATGGCTTTCAGCCTTACATTGGACAAATTATCCCCTACCAGATCGGCGGAGCCCATATATTTATCATAGTCCTGATCTCAACAGACAGAGTAACAAGCCCGTGTTCCAATGGTAGAGAGGCAAACTCACTGACCAAAGGTCCTGTGTTCGAATCTCGGGGTTCCAACCGTTGAGATTGGGTATGACTGCTTGATGACGGTGAACAAGCCGGAAATGTCCATTCCGATCTCCTATTGCTCTTTCGGGTCCATTCCATAATATAAATACGCGTTTATTCATTCGTCGGCAAGAGGGGCATTTGGTAGGCATCCTTTTCTGGCAAAGGCTTTCAGAAGTTCTCTTTTGCTCTGTTAGACCGAGAGACTACACCGAGGAGTCCATACAAACGGCTCTGGAATACCAAAAGCACTTGGACGCGGACATGGGTGGCACAGAAGTTTTGGGAGCTCTCGAAAGCATTTATGCCAAGGAGATCACGGGTTCTGGTTGGCACAGGAAGATCATCTTTCTTACAGATGGCGATATCACCAACCAACCGCAGGTAATCTTAACCTCTTTCCTATTTTCTTAAAACAGATTACATTGCCAATACTAGAGAATATGCAAGTGTCAGAACGCAGTTCAGAAGAAGAAGATGCGGTCAGTGGAAAAAAAAGAGTTTTATTTAAAATGGAGAGTGGGCCTAAATTTCGCTTCAGGCCTCACAGGGCTTCCCATCCTACATCTGCTCATTCACGTGAGCTGCGGAGTTTTTAAAATAAAAATTTTCTTCCCCTATCTAAACTGCAATAAACCAACATGTTGCTCGAGTGTTCTCCTATAAGGCATAACACCGGTTGTCTGTTGTTTATAAATGGCTTGCTTGTTGGTCATTAGAATGTGCGGCCATATATAGTTGCGAAAGCGCAGTGCTCTTACGCATCTTTATGTTAGCATGCGTAGGGATATTGTAAAACCAAATATAAACGCTTTGCCCCACATCCTTCTGGAGTGATACATTCTCTGATCCCTTAATGTTTAAGTAAACGCTTGGGTTGAGTATCAAATATTTAATAGAGGAGGTCGTATTGGACACAAAGCTGCTGATTGTTTGACTTCAATTTTATGTATGAGTTTTGATGGATTTCGCAGAAATCAACCACCCACGCTTGAGGTTGGTAATATTTATTCGATTCATTTTCTCTTTTTAAGAAAAATT